CAAAGATTTCCATGTAGACGTGATGTTCAAGGCCTTGGCATTTGAACAACAGTAAATATAGCAAAGGAACATAGAAGATCCAAAAATCCATTGAGCAAGAGAATAGAATTCAGAAGTGAAATCCTGCATGTTGTTTGGTTAGCAGGAGCCCAGGGCAGCAGGAATTAAGAGCATCATTACCAGTTAGGGGATAATGGAAATATCATAATGCTCATACGCATTTATGAATAGAAAGTGAGTAAGTTTCTAGGGCACCAAGAGAGGAAATTAGTGGCGTAATCCCAGAATGAGAGATGTGCAGATGAGCAGTTGGAACAATGCAAGCAAGCTGCTGGGAAATGAAGAGTCCCTCTTAGCACATAGTTGTAAAAATGAAGCAAGTAGTTAAAATGAATTTATAACATCTGAAAATATATTTACTTCCGTTCCTCCTCTTCTTCATGACATCCAACTGCCATATCTGGCTCCCAGAAAGAAGACAGAACAATGAAAAAGAACACTTTCAGTGCAGTTTTCAGATCATTGAAGAGTAGAATTAGACTCAAGTGTAATAAAAAAAAAAGAAGACCAAAGGGCAATGAGAAGTGCTTCAATAGTAATTAAAAGATGTGTGTGCTCTGAAGTAGAGACAGCTGCTATCCAACATTTAAGGTACTTAAGAATAGGTATGCCATTTTCTGAACATTTTGCATTTAGCACTAAGCCAAGGATATGTTTCTGGAGATCAGATTGTGCTGATCTTTCTGTTAGAACTTTATGTTCAAAAAGGAAAAGAATGTGTGCAAATCTATCAGGGGGAGTCAGATTTGCTAACAAAGCAAACAAGAACATGGCACCAGGAGTGAAGAAACTGGCAGTTTTCACTTTGCACATTGGCTCACACATGGACTCTGAGCAAAGGGATGTTCTCAATTGGGTATCCCTGAATCTAAAGCCAGAAAAATTGTCTTCCTTGGAGGTCAGTAAGTTTCTCCATCAGTACAGTGGTATATTGCACTAAGCCACAGGTCTTTCCTGGGCACTGACACAGGGTACCTGCAATATCTAAAAACAAAAGCTTAAGGCACTGTGGGTCGCTACGTTTTTTCCAAGTCTTCATTACAATATAGTGAAGTCTGTAACTCTGTAACATATTCAAGCCTGGGGCTGTTGAAACATGCACCAATTGCCTCCATTTTATGGGAAAAATATACAAGTTAGAGATGAGCATAACAGGAGAAAAGATTTATCAGTAAATCACATAATCAGATATCAGATATCCTCCTGCAAAGCAGTAACAAAGGAAGAATTAATTGTTTGCTGATAAGACAGTGTGGAAGAACAGACATAGGCTTCTTTATGCTTCTTCATTTAGAATTATGGAAGAAAAAAAGAGGAAAAATAATCTCACCAATTTCAGAAAACAGCAGTTGTCTCCCTAATGAAGCCCAGTTTGTCTGCAAGCCAGTACTGTTTAATGAAAACCTAATTGAATGTTCTCTCCCATTTCTGTGTGCTGAGGTACACAGTAGAAATGGATGCTCTGACCAGCTCTGAAAAATGATGTGCAGCTGGGCTATCTCCAGCTGGGAGTAAATTAGGAAAGTGACAAGTCCTCTACCCTTCTACGCTGTTCTGTCCACTCTATATTTTAATCTCGGGAATGTTTATTAATCTAACATTCAGGCAGTTCTTCCTAAAATACGTAAATACATGGAATACTTGAAGCATTTGACTCATTACAGGGAAATCTTAATTTTGCACTTGACAAGATACCTGACAAGTTGAAGCGACTTCATTAGAATTTTATCAAGGACAACAGTTCTAAACACTATTAAATGTTAAAGATTTTTGCATCCCTCTGAATGAGGTATCTCCCCCAAAATGTTTTTTAAACACATTTTCCAATGCTTTTTTGGATGGGGGAAGGCTAAAAGCAAGAAATAGCTTGTCCAAGGCCAGGGGGAAAAATAATCAAAGGGCAAAACAGACAAAGGAATGCTGGAAAGCATAAATGAGAGGCAGATGGCCTACAAAGATAACAAAAGAATAAGCAAGTAAATTCAACACAATTTGCACATGACAAAAATGGGGGGGGGGGGAATAACAGAAGTTTATCTAATTATCTGATGAATAAAAATATCTCCTAGTCTTTGTTACCATGCTATCGATTTACTCTACAGCTTAAACACATTTACTTTGCCTGTACAACAAGTCCACTCTAAGTTATTTCCTGGAGCTGCTTGAAAGACTTCTAGGAGAAGTACAAGAGACTTAAGTGGCCAGTAGTGGCCATTGTACATGTCTATTATGGACCCACCAAAATTTCAAAGTCGAATCAGAAGGTTTGCATTAATTGGGGACAGCTTGACCAACAGTAATGCAGTAACTGTGCAAACTACCACAGCTCATGGAAGAAACTCAAACAGTACACAAATTATTTGGATCAGTCCTTCACAGCCGGTCACACTCTACAGTAACAGTAGTCTAAGCTACAGGAAAGTTACCACAATAAAAGCCAGAGTTTTGTTTCAGTTTCCTCTGTCTTAACTACATGGTCCCTAACTTGAAAAAACAGACACAAGTTCCATTTCCAAAACCCATTTCTTGAGTCATGAATTATGTACATTATTTCTCTAGTATTGTCTGTGTTTTCCATCTGCAAAATCCCAAAAAGCTGGACCCCAGAAACAGCTCTGTGCTATTACATAGCAACTGCAAACACATTGTGTAATACTCAGCCTTATGTTAAATGCACGGTTTGTTATTTCACAATAAAAGGGGGGGAAAGCTAGGTATATAAGCCTTATTCAAAAGAATATTTCAGTGCTTGTAGCCCCCTAATTTAAGCAGATGGATGCTATGAAAGGTTGCCTGGGTAACAAGCCTAAGCTACTTAACATTGCTAGAGGGTAAAGAAGTAGCACCATTATTGCTGATGAAAGCTAATGATGGGACCTGTTTATTAATAATTTCTTTGGTACCATCATACCACAGTGGGTGAGCTAGACCCCACAAGACCACTAGGTCTGTGTCTCTCAGTCTCATCAACTTCTAATCATTCCAGACTATTTTCAAGGACATCATTTGACTTCCAGCATGCTCTGTTTGAGGACACTTGGCAGGGTAGTTTGTTCACACTTAGGGGAACATCTTTGTTAGCTCAGCTGTCAGACAGCATTCTGGTAGGTGAAACAAGGAAGCACCTGGGGCATGCCAGGTACACAATGAACCTACAGGTTATTGCCTCTCAAAGTTAATAGAACCTTATTTGAGAGACCTATTTGACAGAAATCCCTTTTTTCTACTTATATTGTAGTCTTTATCTAACACAATAATGTTTTCCTTAGAGAGGTTAATGGGTTTAACTAAATGTAGCCATGATAACCACTGACTAAATGAATTTCTGTTCACCAGAAAATTATCCCTTTTCTAGGAAAGTAACTTTACACTGTTCACTTAAAATCGTGCAAGGGAATTATTGACAGAAACATTGACATAGATTAGTAAGGCTGTAAATTTTGAGCTTAAATGAAACTTAAATTTTAATTTTTCTCCACTGCCTTTCTGCTACTTGTGCAACAACTCTCCTTAGGGGAAGAATATCATCTGTTACATTTATTATGACAAAATAGAAGTGAGAAACACTAAAGACCAAAGTTAAAAAGCATACATTGTGCAGAAAACCAAGAGGAGGCAAGAGGAGGGAAGTCACCAGCTGTGCATCTGCTACACCCCAAAACTGAGGGATTAAATACAGAACATTTGCTCACCTTGCATTACCATTTGTATTTCTGAAAATTCATGAAGTCAGGTGGAATTAGCCATGCAAAAACATCAGGAAAGTGTGGCAGTGAGGGTGGCTGTGACAAACCTCTGGGTCCTCTGATTTCAGGTCAGAGAGTGGCAGAAAAATAAATAGGAGCAGGAACAATGGTTGGCACCAGGAAAATGCTTTAATAAGGAATAAAAGAAAATAGGGACAATGCCCAAATGCCAAACAACAATAACCTGGGAGAGAACTCCTTTGGGGGTGACCAACCAAAGAGGAAAATGAAGGAAGGCACAATGATATATAACCTTAGGGAATGAACATTCTGGTAGCCTAACCATATAGGCAGTAACGTTACCCAGTCTGTGACTGACATGCAACTTAATTAATATAATAATAGAGGGGTATCTTGGGAAAGACTTCTAACTCAAATGAAAGATTCCCATGGCTTCAGATAGATAGGTAGCTCTTCAGAGGCAATAGTCAGCTGGCTTGGGTCCCCAGCCAGGCTGAACTCCATAGGAAAGGATGTTAGCACCTCCAAGTCAGTAATCTCTGATCCTTGCTAGGCACTCACTGAGTATTCTAGAAGTAGAAAATGAGAGAAAAGCAACACTATCAGCTTTCCTAAAGTTGAAAAGTGCAGTCCTGCTCCCACAGGCTTCAGAGTCTTACAGAAAGAAAGCTGATCCCAAAGGCACAGCAAGCCTCCCTCAGGTCATCATCCAGCTAGGAATATGTCTAACCAATGAGCATTGTGTATTTAAAAAAAAAATCCTCTATGCCTTGGACTTCTGGGTTTCTCCTGTAATAGGGAAGATAGTGGAAAAGCCTTTCTCCTCAGGACAGCCTTTGTTACTCCTCTTAGGGGCATGCTTGCTTGCAAGTTGTTTTCCCCTGCAGTTATTTTCAATAGCCTTAATGTTTCTCACCCTCCAAATATTAGGGAATATTATTTCCACTCTTCCCTGTAACACAGTTAGGATTGTTGCAGCCTTTGAACTGTTTGAAGTTTTACAGGCACTACCTCAATTGTTTATAGTTATTTGCTTAAGCCAAAACCAGTTAATCAAAGTTTACTAGGGTTTTTAGCATCCTTTTTTACATTGTCATAATTTGGCCACCTGGCAGCTGTCAGTGTTGCCTGTGTTATGCTGCCTTCACTACGGACAGAGGAAAGCAAATTCACTCTTCCCACAGACTCACTTGATCACTGTGACCATTTAATGCACAATCTTCTCCTTTCCAGACAGCGCAGACAGTGCTTCTCGTGGTTGCTGTGTTCCTGCTCTCCTGGCTGCCACACCACATCATCACCATGTGGGCAGAGTTTGGGCACTTTCCCCTGAACAACATCTCCTTTACCTTCCGCATCATCTCTCACTGCTTGGCCTACGGGAACTCTTGCATCAACCCCATCCTTTACGCTTTCCTCTCGGAGAATTTCCGCAAGGCCTGCCGGCAAGTCTTCACCTGCAAGCTCTTCCTGCGGCCGGTTTCCACTGAGAAACTGGCCAGAGTGCGCATGGAGAACTTCTCTACCACGCACTCCACCACGAATGTGTAAGCTGGGCTCACAAATATGTTTCAGGAGGAAGAGGAGGGAAGAGAGTTCTGTCTGGGGAGAACATACATACAAGTGCATTCCAGGGAGCAGTGGAGTCTCCAACAGTGTGGACTTTGCCAGGTTACTGGAGTGGTAGGAGATGTATTTCCCTCTTGCTGTGATATGTGACAGAGATTGTCCTAGGGTACCTTGCTAGACATTGAGCTACAGAATTATCTGAATGCCCATAAGATAGAGCCCAAATGAAGCTGTAGTTATGACCACAGAATCTAAAATAATATTTATGCAGAAGGTAGAACATGTACAGAGAAGAATACAGCAGTTAATTATGTCTATAGACAGTCATTGAGATGTGAACAATGTGTGATGTGACATTCAGACAGTTTGGGAGAAGTCAAACTAAAGTCTTTGGATGTCTTTTTCACCAAATTTGACCATACACATTTAGCTCACTACCAGCGATAGGGTCTCTACAAATTTCCTTGAAGACTTTGCTGTAGCATTTACCTATTGGGCAATTACACCTTTCACATGATGTGTCAGTGATGTGGCTGGCTGCATTTGGTGGCTCTGTATCATCTTATTCATCCCAGGGTCTGAGTGCCTGTGTGCTCCTGTGTATAATTACTGCTGTTAATCTCTGGGTCCAGCAACAGGAAAGTGTTATTTCTTGATATATGCTTAAAAAACTGTGATTCTGTTTAAAAGTACTGTCTACAAAAGGTTTTGCTGGTAAATACAGTGTTCTCTTGAGTCTATCTACCCAAGACTTTTTATTAGCCACTTTAGTATAATGCCTAAAATTTGTGGTGAGAATTTTTTGGGGTTTTTTTGTTTGTTTTTTTGACGAACTGTTGTGATCAACAGTGCGCTAGCAACAAATAGGTAAGAGTATTTGTACCCTTCAAGGTTACTACTTGTAACTATATGAAGTGCTTATTACTTCAAAAGTAGGAAGCAAATGGCTGAAAGAATTTCATTATTTCACTGTGTTATCTAACTTAGTATTTCTGTGTACTGCAGTGCAGACTGACCTGTTCACAGACAGTAAAAATGTGGGTTACAGAAGTTAAACTACCAATTATTTGTTGTCCATGCAATGAATGGGTTTCCAGTCTCCAAATGGATCATTCTTTCACTATATTTCTAAAACCTGGGAGCTATTGTATTAAATAATTTTACTGCAGTTTGTAACTTCTTTTAAGAGCACCTTAACTGGGCAATATGAACAGAGCACATGTACAATAGGATAAAGTCATTGCCCAATCCTTGGGTCATCCTTGATCTGTTAAAGTTTTCTCTTTGTTTAACTTCTACTCTCAGTATACTAAGAGTAACTCCAGTGAATTATTTCCTTTGGAACTGGATTTAGATCCAATGCTGTGATCTTCTCATTCTCCATAATGTAGAAATCTACTATTTCTCCATTCCAAGTGATTGCACAACCTAAACTGGATAGCATCGGAAAAAGACACTAAAAGAAAGGCTTGTGGCAAATCACTGCAACAGAAACCAGAGCTAAAATGCTTGTTTGTGTGATTATTTACCATGGATACAAACTAACAGCTATATATGAAATAACCTCAGCCTCACTTCAACTCTCTGGTTTGAAGCAAAATAGGACAAAGGCACTACATTCAAAAGAAATCTTACACTCATTCTGTTATGTGAAGGTCACTAGAACCCATGAACCAACACACTTCTTTCATTTTAACAGAAGACATCTTTCAGTGTGGTGGGGTTTTTTGGCTTTTTTACAGTCAGTTCAGAAACTGAACATGTCACTACAGTAGGCAGAAAAAAATGGGCAGAAAACACTTTAGGGCTTTTTAGTTTTTATTTAATATAACATGAAGGAGCAAGATCCCATTTCTCAGTGAAAAGTAACCGTAAATTAAGGCCTTGAAAGAGCCTCAAGCATTATTGTGCCTTCTCATTCTCACTGTACATTATGGGTATCCCATCTAGAATTCTCTGAATGAACTGCTACATCACAAGAAAATCAAGTATCCTTTGTCCTTTAGTCCTTTGTGTCTGTGACTGGTCAGGTTTTCTCTGCTACCACAGCAGCAATTTTTAAGTTTTAATACTGAATGTTACAGATGGTGGTGGGCAGTAAATAAATGCAATAGAGCTGTATATCATACAGAGATATGTTCATTTGGATTTGAATTTAAATTATGTCTCAAAATAACTAAACTAAATCAACTGATGAAGTAATTCTTCAGTATTCTCCAAAAGCATTGTTACTCACTTACTAGTTTCCTTTGGGAAAGCTACATGTTGTGATAGCTGTGCAGATGAATACTGCAGCTTCCAGAACAGTGCACAAAGTTAACCTGACCACCTAGTTCTGAAATTCAACTCTATTAATTCACTCTGCCTTAGTGACCTCAAGGTAAGCCCCTACCAGGGAATGCCTGGCAACCTGAATTAACCTCCTTTAGGCAAAGGTAGAGTCCATTCCTGGGAGACCTGTCCTTTTTCGGGCTGCAGTCTCTATTTTCCGTACCAGGTCCACATCCCACCGATGGGTGACAAAACTAACCACAGCTCCAGGTGCCTTGCTCCCAACCCGGCCAACTCTCCCAGCACGGTGCAAGTAGTCCTGTAAGGTGTCTGGGAAGTCATAGTTGACCACTAGCTGCACACTGCTGGTGTCCAGCCCCCGCGAGGCAAGGTCAGTGCAGACGAGGACAGACACGTCACCCTTCTGGAAAGAGGCAAAGATGCCAGCTCTAGCAGCTGCTGACATCTGACCCTGCAGCCTCAGGTGCTTGATTTTGTGGTCGTCCAGGATATAGCCCAGCCAGTTGACAGTGCTGGCAGTGTTGCAGAAGATGAGAACAGCCCCGCCAGATGATGGGCGCTCCTTGAGCAGCTGCAGCAGTTCGGGCAGCTTGTCCCGGCCTTTGAGGCGGACAAACTTCTGCTGGACGTGAGGCGGCAGGCGGTGCAGGCTCTGGGTGCTGAGGGTGACAAACCGGCCCACGTCAGTGAACTTCGCCAGCGTCTCGCTGAGCCCCGTGGGGAAGGTGGCTCCGACCACCACCACCTGCGTCCTCTCCTCGTCGGGACCGACTGGCCCGGGAGCACCGGCGGCCAGCGGCGCGTGTGCCAGGATCTCCTCCAGCAGCTCCGTGAAAGACTCGTCCATCAGCGCGTCCGCCTCGTCCAGCACCATCCAGCGCAGCCTCTCCAGAGCCAGGAAGCGCCGCCGCAGCGCCTCCCGCAGCGCTCCGGGGGTGCCCAGCAGCACGGCGGGGCCCGGCGGCGGCGCCCACAGCTGCCTCCGCAGCCCGCCCGCGGCCCCGCCGCCCGTGAGGCCGCGCACCGCCAGCCCCGCGGGCGCGCACAGCGCCGCCGCCACCGCGCCCACCTGCGCCGCCAGCTCCCGCGAGGGCAGCACCACCAGCCCGCGGGGCGCCGCCGGCCCCGCCGCCTCCGCCGTCACCTCGGGGCGGCTGAGCAAGCGCTCCAGCAGCGGCAGCAGGTACGCCAGCGTCTTCCCGCTGCCCGTCTCGGCGGCGCACAGCGCGCTGCGGCCGCGGCGCAGCGCGGGGATAGCGAGGCGCTGCACGGCCGTGGGCCGGCCGATGGAGAGCCGCTCCAGGCCGGCCAGCAGCGCCGGCTGCAGCCCCAGATCGGCGAAGGTCGGGCTCTGTCCCGTCTCAGCCGGCGGCGCCTGCAGTGCGGGAGCCGCCTCCTGCGAGGGCTCCAGCTGGAAGTAATCCCCGTACGCCTTCCGGTGCTTCCAGCCCGCCGACACCAAGGGCGGCTGCTCCCAGCGCCCCACCGTCTGCCAGCGGGGCTGGCTCAGCTCCGGCCGCCGGCTCCGCAGCAGAAGCTTCCCGGGACGCGGCGCCGCCGCCTCTCCCTGCCCGCGCCGCCGGCGCTGCGCGCCCCGCTGCAGGCGCTGCCGTAGGGCCCAAGGGACGCGCACCACGGCCGCGGGGGACTGCGGGCTCCCCGCGGCCGCTGTTCCGCTGCCCGCCGGCCGCCGAGGCAGCAGCAGCGGCAGGGCCAGCGCCGGCCCGGCCCGGCCCAGCGCCATCACGGCCCGCACGTGGGGCGGCGGCGCTGTCCGATGACGCCTGAAAGAGGCGCTGGCCCCGGTTCTCCCTGCCCCGCCCCGCCGAGCCGCGGCACAGCCACGCCGGGAGGGTGAGTGCGGCGGACCGTGCCGCTCCGTTCTTTCGCCTTTTTCCGCTGCCGGCTGGGAGCCGTCACCGCGCCGCCACCGCGGGGGCGGCCTCGGCCCCGAGGGGCCCTGGCAGGGGCGGCGTGGGGCCCCTCGCTCGGGAAGGAGCCCGTGTGGCGGGGAGCATCTCCCGGCGCCCTCGGCTCCCTCAGGCTGGGTGAGCCTGTTCCCCGCTGCCCGGAGAGCCCTGTCACACCTGTCGGGGGACCCACCGCCCCTTCCCGGCAAAGGACTGTGTTTGCGGGCAGAAGTGACGCTCCATGGCAGTCCCCCTGGGCTCTGTCTTTCAGGTGGTACAGCAGCAGGAATGACGGTGAACACCCCGCTGTGCTTTAGAGGAAAGAAGATCCTGGCTCCAATGGTGCGAGTGGGAACACTTCCAATGCGTCTGCTTGCTCTGGACTACGGTGCCGATATCGTATACTGTGAGGTATGGAGAAGGAGCAGATGAGGCGTTTTTATCTGGTAACATTATTATTAAGAAAAGTACAAATGGACTTTTTTCATTTCATTTTCTTTTTACACATAGTTTTCCACTAAAATGAGGAAAGAAGAATCTCTGTGTCTTGAGGCATTTCTCTGAGCCATTTTCAAGTTATGGCAAACCCATATTTTAAGGCTGTTCAGTAGCTTCAAGTACTTTAGACAGAACACCATAACAATTTCCTCAAGTTGTACTTTTATTTTCGTTTGAGGGGGTAGTATTTTTTTTTCTATTTCTTTTTTCAGTAGAGTCAGAACTTTGAAGGAACTTTGAAGACTGACTTCATGTCTCATCTGGTTAGTTCTGCTGTGCATCTGTATATTTCACTCATAGCATTGCTCTCCTTGTTTCTT